TCGCTATCAGGACTTTATACGTTTTGATCAAGTGTTTCGAAATTAGAACATTTAATTTTGTTTTCAATACAACTCATGCACACATGGAAAATATAAAATACTAAGCGAGGTTTATAACGATACTAAATTTTTTTTTCGGGAAATATGCATAGGCACTTGGACTCTTCGTCTCGTCTTTGCTTTGGCCCAATACGAGAACGGAGCTAACGCACAGTATGGATTTCACGAAACGATTATTGTATTATTTTTCGATATAATAGGGCGGCCGCCGGTTGCATGTTCGATAACCTCCATTTATATGTATGGTTACTAGGTTTACGACGTAGAAGCACCGCTCGACAAACATTTGTGTAGGCAATAACGAAATCGTTATTTGTACGCCGTACAAATATGTAAATATTATGTACACGTAGTAAGACTTACGAAATAATAATAATATACACGCGTTATGTACGCTTAATCAAATACAATATTATAATATTATCATACGAGTACCGAACACACTGAACGTGTACAGTATAATGTTGTGTAGCCCATCAAAGTAAGAGTAGAAGTATTAATTTTGTACGGTGTTTTGTACGAATTTTCGTGAGCATCTTATTGATTATATAGACTTGTATACGAGCACATAGACGGTTGGACAGGTAAATACAGGTAAATTACGGTGCCGCAGATAATAATACTGTATTTTTTTTATGAACTTAAAAGATTTGCAATACTAAAAGAACAATAATATCACATGCAGACGTTATTTATTGTATTGCACGCATACGTTCACTAGAAACGATGTACAATCGTATCGCTGCGATATCGCGAAGAAAATAGTAAATTTTTTTCCCCACTTTTCTTTCCGCACAATATTTCTACAGTGTCCTGTAATGGAACTGAAGTAGCAAAACAATATACGAGTACCATATAACTCGTTAAACGTGGTTGATGTAGGTATACGTGGTACATAATACACGTATGTATTGTTACAGCGGCATTGCCGTAAAACCAAAACCACGGGAACTCGTGTTTTATCGCTTTTTTTTTTGTACGCAAACACCTAAACTCAACGCACTCACGTAACATATATAATCCGTAAAACATACATCGCCAGTACGAACAATTTAATTTCACTCGGATACGTGTTTGTATGTTTACCGAACGAAGGCAATTTTTTTTAAGCTGCTACACAGTATCGTGTAGGCCCTCTACAGTGTTAATAATGTAATGTTTGGCGACACGTCCGAACGAATTGGTGCGTTTTCACAGTTATCGCGACGCCTAAAATGCATACGTTTGCCCTGTTCTTCGAGATCGACGTACACAATTTGAACGTTTCGGAAAACAAATAAACGTAAAGCATTCCATCTCGTAAACCCTGTAACTCGAATTATAACTTCAATACATCCCTTCTGTTAGGGGTCATGGAAGTTCTATTGTGTGTACACCAATGTCATATTTTATAACGCCTTACACGAGAAGACATATCTACACTTAGAAAATAATAGAGCCGTATGCGATGTTCAAAAAGTTCAATTTAAATCTTACCGAATCTTAATAGCATAGTGTTGTTGATCATTGTTAACAGTTAAAACAAAAGTGAACAAATAAAAGAGTGTTTAACTATTGATTCGCGTTCGATGTATACATAAACGTAATGCGAGCATAAACGAGTTATTCATCGAAACACAATACGCAACATTTCTATAATGTATTATCTGCACTTCGAGCGATTGAATACCTCTGATGTGCCTCAATCGGATTTGATTCGTTATAAGTCCTAATCCACGGATACATTTGGCACGCAACATTATAAAATGTCATTGTTAGTCCTTATTTTACATATTAAGTATTTTTCATGGTTACAAACGAGTATGATAAAGATGTGATCCAATAACCGATACTTTTCCGGCATCACGTGGGTGGTCGCATTTCACTTATGTTTTCAGAATATAAGATCTTAATATATAATATTATTTCCGTAAGTAAATTTAATTAGTTTAATTAGTATATGGTTGCGGAATAAGTAGAACGGATAAAATTTTTGGAGAAATAATTAATGCACGGAATATCTTAAACCGTACCAATTTTTATTGTAATAATGTTTTTCGTAAAATTATCGTCGGTCCCCGTGTACGGATTTTACGCATTTATTAGTTTGACACTTGAGTCGAGATTCTACGATGCATTTATAAAAAATTGAGTGTATCGAAAAGCGATTTGAAAAGCTATTGAAATTTCGTTCAGCCAACCGATGAATACCATGATAAAACGCAATGGGAGAATAAAGTGGTCGATTCGAAAATTACTCTCAATTCGATTAATCTGATTGCGTATGTGCAACGGGGAACTTAAATATCATTTCGATTTTATAACCGTGAGAACGGATCGCACACGGTATCCGCGACGATTAGCTTAACATAATTTATTGCATTACGTTATTAAATAAATGATATTTTTTTAACCGTGCAATTTACTAATAGCCATCGATCGCAGCACATATAATGTACACGCGCGTGATTGCGATTGAAATAATTTTCTTATTAAAATGTCTAAAGGGAAATATTAAACCGACCGATTATTATACATATCAGTGTTCTGTTCGATTTGACCACGACATAGCTACGCGTCGCAAATACCGTTAAACTAAATAAACTATCGTTAATCATCGCGAGCATATACTTGTACGATACAAACGATATTCACAATCGACGATGATCATACACATGTATTTGTATAAAAAAATATATATTATATATATTTTTTTTGTGATTATACTAATACTGCAATATCGTTGACTTCAGCACGACTCGGAACACTATCCGATGGTGCTATTTGTTTTAGAAGACTTTCTCGCGAGTCGGTTAATCGCTTTGCAGCGTTATTGAATACAGAACACGAACCGCGCGCGTTTGTAGATCTATTATTTTTTCCATTGCTATAACGCGTCGATCCATCGTTAAGAAAACAAACGATCGACTCGCAAAACACTGTGCATCATTGTGATACGATTTATCTCGCGGTAACGCACACGTATTAAAATAATAATAATTATTGTTGTTGCGCGCGTTCGTGATAATCATTACCGCTGTATCATTAGCCCGAACGGTCCGCCGCTCGTCGCGATATTGTGCGTTCGAGACAATCCGCGGTAGTGAAAACGAACGTTGTTCATCGTTTATGCGCGCGTGTAGATACAATCATTTGCGGAGAATAATACGTAACGTGAAAACGTAGCCATTGTGCCGAAGCCCTCGGGCCCCCCGTGACCGAGATGTCCGCGACGTCCTAAAAAGGTGTCCTGGTAAGTCTCCGAAAACATAATAATGGTACGCGCCTCCCTGCGAAAGGAATTGAAAATAAATAATTCCTCGACCTGCAATTTTACCGATTACAGAAATCGCGGTGCGATGACGGTTTCGGGGCCATCTTCGCCATTTCTGGAGCCGTTTTAACACGGCAATCCTGTCTAGAGAGCGCACTGCAGTTGTCGGCTTTTTCAATCATACAACACACGTACGTATGCTGCACCGTGTACATATTCTTCTTACTGTTTTTTTTCCATACTCTTCCGACCATACAACGAAAACCGGTTCACCGTTTTTTATTCTTATTTTTTTTCACTTATTTTTTTTTCCTTCCGTATCCTTCTATCCAATCGATTTGACGTATCTATTATCATTGACCCATACCCATACGACTTATCATTATTATTTCAATCCAAAAAACCGTTTTACATTTGATCCAAAGACATATTCATGCACCACGTTACTATGTATGTTGCTACACCGCAGTCGTGCTTACAGTACAAAGGCTGATTTTAAGTCTTTAAAATATGTGCACTTTCAAAATATTACACAACGTTCGCTGGATCCCGTACATGTACATTGTATTTTATTATTTATTGAGAAACTACCTTCTTTGATTTATTTTCCTATCAGTGCCTATTATTATTTTACTTGTTAGTATTTCAATATAATAACACAAATCATTACTAAACTTAACTGTGATGGATAATTTGTTCTTATTAATATACTCCCATCGCATGATTAATACATTAAATCCAATCTTAACTTTTTAACTTTAGTTTTGAAGAAATACATTTTAAGTTATAACATTTAATGTTCAAAATATCTTGTATACCAGAGACTTCGATAGAGACTTTAATAGTCGGTTATGACAATTTTTTTTTTTTTTTTTTTTTTATACATTTTTAAAAAATGAGTACTATTATTAAAATTAAGCACAGTGTACATATTTTTTTATTTTTCCTATTTATATGATTATTGTATTATGAAATAATTTTAAAAATTTTAATGAAATCAAATTTTAAATTTAATGAGTTTCTCCATATTATTTACAAATTTAAGTTCATTTTTTTGAATTTGTAATATATGAAGTACGTTCACTTTACAAGTACGATAAATATAATTTTAATCGTTATTTATGTCTTATATATTAATTGAAGTATAATAGGTGAAACCTCTACGTGATTTTATTTTATCCGTAAAAAAGAAAATGAAAATATGCTCTTCAATTAGCTATTGTTTTCACTAGTACCAACTTATTACGGATATTATTTTTAAATAATTCAAGTGCAAAATGTAATTTATTTAAAGCAAAAAAAAAATTATTTTTAGAAAGTATTATCATAGTGTTATATTTTATGTCATTAGAATAAAAAATATTTTTGAAAATATGTATCAGCGTGATGTAAAAAAAAAATATATTTATCTTTTCCTGCAAAGTATACCTAATACAATATAATTGATTTTGATATTACGAGTTGTTTTCGAAACGTGAATTATTTATAATAAACGTAATTTCTGTGTTCCACAGTATTATGTTCGTCCAATTATAATTATAAGCAAATATTACATAGGTCTTCGAAACTATTAACGATTTTTATTTTTAGCCACTGCATACGGTGAATTAGTTTTTTTTTTTTTTTTTTCTACGTAAACATGTATTTTTTCGTTCCCGCTCTTGGTCCGTACATCAAAACTACGTACCTTTTTTCCGTCTAGTTTATCAATGGTTTGTCGTCGACTCGGCATGCCCGGCGGTGCCTAGTCCAGATGCGTTTCCGGCCTGACGCATGATCCGCCCCGGAGGAATCGCGAGAAACGAACTTTTCGGAGACGTGGCAGGAAAAAAAAAAGGAAACGCACCGGACGATGAACGAAACTAACGCGTTCGGGACACTCGCGGTTCAGTCGGACGACCGTGGCAGCGATGCGTCGCAGTCGGACGGACGGTTGTGCGATGGCGTCGGACGTGATGACGGGCGCGCTCGCATAGTAAGCGACGGGCAGCAAGTCGTGTGTGGAAGTCGGACGATATGCGCGGGCGAAACGATCGCGCGACAGTTGTCGTTCCCGGTCGGGTTACGTTTGCTCTTTCCGGACTCGGCGGTGGCGGAACAACACGACGGTCGGGCGAACGGGACACGGGTCGACTGCCGGCGTACGAGACGAGCACGTGGCTTTGACGCGGACGGATTCTTGCGTCGACTCGACGAAGGGGGGAACAACCGTTCGCGCGCGCCGTTGGAGTGGGTCATATTATTATTATTATTATTATGATCATCTTCGTACGTTTTAAAATAATGTTATTATTTGTATTTGTATTATTTTTTGTATTGTTATGTTCGCGGATTGCAACTCGAAACTTACCGTATCATTATGCGTATTTAACGCGATAAGTGCGTTTATTGTTTCATTGCGACCGTCCGTGCACGCATCACAGTACATTTATTTTTACATTGCGCTTGCGCGGAACGTGTATGTCGTTCGTGGCGAGATGTTGGTCGCGTCGAAAGCGCCAACACTCAAGTACGTTTTTTGTTCATGGTTTTCGACATTAAACGATACCTAAAAAATATAAAAAAAAATATTAATTGCCAATGTAAACAACATTAGGTACGACGCGCCTGAGAAATGACACAACCGAACGGTAACATCGGAAAGATTAAAGAAAAACGATAATGAAAATAATATCGATAACCGTTGAGTGTACCAGCTTAGTGTTCAGAGCGATACGACAAGCTTATTTAACTGAAAATCAGCAAATGAGTCGTATGAGGTAGCCGAGGAACAATCTACTCAATAGAAAAATGGCGAGTCGTGAACATCAAACATTCTACTTGACAAGCATCCGAAGCCGTATGCGGACTTCTAACACTCGTTTCAAAAACTTTATCGTTTGTTCGCAGTCGAGTTGTAAAACGTAACGTGTACATTGTGATATTCGCGTAATGTGTCTGTTGCTCGGATTTGACACACTTACGGGTGAAAATAAGTGATGTGAAAAAATAATTCGGTTCGTTTTTTTATTTTTCCAAGACTACAGTATGCACCACCGTTTATTAATATTAAAACATTTGATGAAATTATTAATTTATTTAGTATTGAAAACTATTTGATTTTTTTTTTCCAATAGTCACGAAACGTGTAAATATTATTTATTCTTGAAACATTCATATACTGTTACTTTTTACTCGATCCGGTATCGATGTTATTCTTCGGAATCTCTTTTCGTTTTAGATTAATTTCTTATTTTTACTTCCGAACTATTCGTTCTGGCGATTAATACATCACATAATTATTCAAAACTCATTGCAATCATGGTCCAATCTACTACGAAAAAGTTTTTCATTTCAAAATATATTTTTGTTGCATTAATTTAAAATATTTTATCAAACACCTAAACGTAAAACAATACAAATAAACTTCTCTAGGTAATTTAAATAACGGTCAGTTCTTCTTTTAATCGGTATTAAACTTTTTTTTTCGATACGTGATTAAATGAAATCAGTTTAAATAGACCAATCATGAAGGTGGTTAAACTAACGGTTATTTTTCTTGGTAAATATTTTAATTATATTTTAATTATATCACACGATATGTGTAGTTATTTACAATTTATTTATTATAAATTGTGTTAAAACTTATACACTCGTATCATATTTGAAAAATAATTAATATTTTTCTTTTATTCTATTCAATTTAACTAGCAATAAAATAATTAGAAAGAATACCAAACAAATTTGTATTTTAGTTATTCATATCAAAACTCATATTATATAATATACAAGTATTATAGTGAACACTGTATTCATGACTGATTTTAAATTATCGACCATATGAATAATAATTAAATAAATTAACCAATAATCTTAAACATAAAAACATAATTAAGTCGAGTAACTATAAAATTAAATTAATTTGTAACGTTATTGATAGTATTCGATAGCATGAAAAGCAGAATTTTGAGTTTGAAAATGGTCAAACATAATAATGTAAAATAAACTTTCTTCTAATCGTTAAATCTTAAATTCACTTAGGTTTACGATAGTATCTGCAATATCCACATAATTAATATATATTTAATTTAATAAAAAAGATATTTTGATTAAAATTAGTTTTTTTTATATGTTAATGTTTTATATTTTTATACTTGAATTCAATTTTTGCATTAAAACTTCAAGCAATAATGAAATTGATGGGTCATAAAATTTAAAATTGACAAATAAAAAAAATATATTAATGAGTATAATATTTATGTGCCTATTTAAATATGTAAGTAAACCTAATGTATATTTTTATATTTTTTTAATAGAAACTATAATATGGTCAGTAATATTATATTTTATATTTCTCGAGAATACCTATTTACAATAATTTTTAAGTCCAATAAAAACCAGTTCGTGTATACCATATTTTGAATATTTTATTACTATTATTATCATACAATATAAAGTATTCATTAATTATATATACGCAATATTATATGTATGTATAATATTATATACACACAGGGGCGAATTGGCAATTATTTTTGGCCCAAGAAATATGAAACAAGCCAGCTCATGAACCACAAATTAAACTATTTCAACCCTCCCCCTCCCAAAAAAATGCTTTATTTTGCATCCATTTCAAAACGTGTTTAGTTTCACTCCTAAATTAGTAAAATTTACAATAACTTTACTATAATTATAGCTATAATAGTTTTGGGTATGTCACATAATTAATCAGTTCCAACTTGAACTTGAAGTTTGATGTTAATACATCTTTAAATATATATTTATTTTACAAAATAAAACTTCTTTTTGGTAATTATATAATAATATAGAGCGGCCCAAACAAGAACCGGCCCATTGGGAAGATTCCCGATTTCCCGATAGGCCAATCCGCCACTGTATATACATTGGATACATAGTGTATGTATAATTATATATATTTATATCATTATCGTTTAATTAAAAATTAATTTAAGTGGCATGTTAATATATTTGAAGAGTACAATATTGATGGCTTATAATTTAATAGTGAAATCATAAATTAAAGCTTAAGATTATCCAGAATTTGATTCTCAGTCTTCTAAATTATTGGGTAGTTAAAACACAATTAAAATATCCAATTTATAAGGAAATAATGGTATAATGAAGTTAATGAAGTAAAAATATATAAGAATAATCAATAGTTAGGAATTTTCATTGCATTCAGATTATAAGCATAAGTGCTTTCATGAAACCTGAAGACATTTCAATTTCTCTATCATTGAGTAGTAAATATTGTAGTGGAATAATAACTCATTAAGGAATAGTATACCTTATTAAATATTAGTATTTTAATTAGTTTTTGGATATAAATAAATAATTATTTTTCCCTATGAAATGTCGTTTATTAATTATTTGTAGAAAGTGAATATAAATGGGAAAAAAGGTAATACATTTTGTAATACATTTTTTGTTGTACAGTATAGGCTGTTCGTTTTAATGAATATACTGTATACTATGTGTTCATAGCATAAATATTATAAATAGCTTAACTTATTGATGTCGAGAAAATGAATTAATTCTTTAATAATAAAATTAATTATCAAAAACTATAATATTCCACAATATTAATTAATAATTTTTGATATCGATGGTTTCTGATTTACTGACTATAAAATCCACTTTATTTTTCTGTAGTTCATTTCCAATTAAAATCCAGTTTTATGAAATCATTAAACATTTAAAAACTCTTAGTTTCATGTAACTATGTGGTTGTAACTAGTGAAATAGATTTTTCTGTATTTAATCTCTGTAGACAAACGTAAGTATGGTAGCTTTTCAGACTTGTCTTCGGAAGAGGTTATATATGGGTGGCCTCTCGTATTGATCCAATCCGCACAAAAGTGCTTCTCCGTTATATTTTTTTTATCTTTCATGATTTCTTCGGCGTGGTTTTATTTTTCACGGCTCCGTTTTACTGTAGAGCTTCAGCGAATTTTTCGACTTATTAATAACGTCTAACGCTGTCCGCCTTTCGAGTATTTCAACGGAACAAACGTAAAAAAGAACTCTCGTCGTGCCCAACGATCGAGATCGCGATTACGATACAGCACGTGTTCTTTTTGTTTTGTTTTATCGTTCGGAAACGTGGCGGACGTATGGCAAGTAGTCATTGGTATTTCAATTAGTGAATGTGATTCCATGTATGAGTCTTGGTAATATTATAATTGTTAGCTATTTACTTGTTATATACGAAAATATATTTTTGGATGATGAGCGTGCTGTTTTTCGTAAAAAAAAAAAAAAAATTAATTTAAACACAAATGTGCACTTGAGTGTCTTTACAACTAAATTGCGACTGATATATGGGTAGTTTGTATTGCAGTATTCAACTTATGGATTTTCGAAAGGTCTGCAATATAATTACGTTGCAAACGAGCATTTAGTGAATTTCGGGCACTGTGTTTGTCCGTCATAGGTCGATAATGTAAATATAACACGAAACTCAACGTGAAAATTCAATCACTCTAAGATGCGATATTCCACGATGGCACGTAATAAATTAAATATTCTACCGCGGAATTATCATCCAAATGGATTGGAAACTTGTGTTTAAGAGCAACATGAGCTGTATATTGGCAATAGTGCCATACAGTAAAATAGCTATAAAAAATTCAATATTTCACATGACATGTTTCACATTGAAAACAGTAATTATGTATAAGCGCATTAGGAGGCACGTAATACCGTGTGACTAAGTGGATGTCCCCGTTTTATTATTAATTTATTACTAAAATTGATTTTAAAATATCCCTGATAATTTTTAAAATCCAAATTCGATTAACTGTAATTCGAACCGTTTAAGTAACTGTACTTAAATGTATACGTGCACTTAGCAAAATGAATAATATGCAAGGTCCATTATTTTGTGTCATCCATAAAGATGAATATAACAGTTACTGATCATGTTAGGGTGCCCAAGAACAATCTAAAATCTAAAAGAAAAAAGAAAAATATTCATAATGGAGAAATGTTGTAAGGTTTATAAGCGTTTAAGATTCAAGTAGGTAGTTGAATTGGTTTTTAAAGTGGATTTTTTTAATATTGTAATATCATGTGGTTAATAATTGTAAGTTGTCTGACAACTATATTTTACATTAGGTACAAGAAAGTTGTTTCCCCTTAAGTAACCATA